GATTACAGGTTAATATCTGCCCTCGGCCTTACTCACTGCGGTATACTTATCATTCAAATTTTGTTTTACTTTCGACTTTGCATATTCGAATGATGCATGTATGAATATGCTTTTGTCATTCCTTTGTTTATAGGAAAAATATATACAATGACATTCTCCTCTGTCTGACATATATTGTCTACCGATATGTTTGGCTTACAGCTTCCATATAGATTTCATAAACGGTAGCTGAGGCCGCCTTGATTGTGATCTGTGTAACGTCTGCTTGGACTTGAGCTCTTTTGTTTCAGAGAGCGTCATTTATCCTCTTATTTCCTCTCGTACTAGCGAGTTCATTGCACATCTTTTAGTTGACATCAGTCACATTTTTATGGATGGCGGCCGCGCTCTCGTATGTTTGATTACAATGTCGTTTTGAATTTCTGAGAAGCGGCACCCCGCAAATGTCTATGTGTATATCAGTAGGCAATTGATTTTTTTCCTTGAACTGTGCTTTAAATATATAGGTGTATATGGCACTATTTGTTTTCTATATTCCGTTTGGAAAGTAGTTTGTTTAATCGTTTCTGCTGGACTGGCTGAGGTATATTACTTTAAGTCTCGGCCTGCAATAAATGTCGTAATATTTATAATATATAAGTGACATGCACATTCAGAAATGTTTCTAGTAAAAGTTTTACTTTAAAATATTAGTTTTGGTTGTTCTCTTCAGACAACCCGGCAATATTATATGTCTTCTTATCTTGCGGAATTCTCTTTTGTATATATGCACACCTAGGAATGTTTGGAAAATGTGCGATTTGCATGTATAAATGAAGAAATAATAGGAAACGAATGGTGAAAGAAAGGCAATTGTTTTATTAGTGATCTTGTATGTTGTAAAGAAGATGGAAAGGCAGTGCTCAGCGAACCACTTTTGTTAATGGAAGCAATTATATAACACTATGCATTACGAATGTATCGGAATATGTAATTTAGATGCAATTTTTGTATGTCATCCATGTTATCAGGGTCATTAATTGACTACGACAAGTAGCAAAATATTCTATTTTCCTTTTTCAATAGCCCCGAAAAACATATCCGTTCAAAACGTTGGCCTAAATTCGATTACGGCGTTACTAGAACCTGCAGCTGGAAGTGACAATTTTACCCTCAATTACACCATCATTACTGCTGATCACTCTGGACCGATACAGGAGTGTCAAGCGACACCCATGCCAGATAGACCTGGTTGTACAATTGAGGGACTGGCCAGTGGAAGTACGTACTTGCTTACAGCGAAGGCATGTCACTACGGTGTATGCAGTGCTCCTTCGTCACCGGTTACCGTGAAGACTCTCGGAGAAGGTAAGCGATCATTTGTGCTGTCCAGACACATAGGAGACGTAAAAGCATTAGCAATTGCCATTCTGGCAGCACATTTAATAGATAGAAGCCCAGACAAGGTGTGCCGCTGCCGGACGTGGTTGCGAAATTGGTCGGCAACTTCTAAATGTTAAGCACTTGTAAAGCAGCGGCTAGCCGAGTTTTGATGAAATATTGTCACCATATTTTGGGCTGTGCCGATTAAAACTTTAATATAATAATATTCCACAGATAAGAAAAGAATTACGTATGAAATTTAAAAAAAAGTTAAAATAGAAAAATGATTTTAACCAATGCTATCATCATCCTGTGATTTGTTTAATCATGCGATGCCTCTTACTCTGCGGAAGAGATTTTGTGCCAAAGTCCTGGGAGGTGAAAGCGGCATATTATAGGAGTCTTTGCAGTGCATTTTAATAATATGTATTAAATAAAATAAAAAGATTAAAAATTTTTATAGCTTTTATTTGCGTATTTAGGTATAGCTTAGAGGAGCGGTTGTGAATGAAAGCGGTACTATAGTATTTTGGTCTGAAACATAATTCTTAATCCAGTTCACATGTGTATTTGCCGGTATTTATAAATATCAAAGTAATACTTAGTATATGAATATACACCGAACGCGTCACATAGCTCCTGTTTTTACAAAAACTGCTTCTACTTCGGCGTGAAATTCAGAAACCATCAGAAAGGGCTCCGCAGCAACGGCGATATTGGCAGCACACAGAGCCCTCATTAGTTCGTGAAACATTTCAGACGTATTTAGTTTTATCATGATGACTTCCAACAAGAGTATTTGATGGATAACTGACCAGGAATCGCGGACTGAAGAAAACGAATATCTACTTCAATCATATTATCTTATAAGACACAGCGTTGGCCAGTACTTTGAACACAGCACTGTTAATTACTGTACACAGTCCATCGGCGTAAAGGCTTCAAACAGCCATTGAGTAAACACATGGACGGATGCCCTTCGCTGCAACTCGATACCCAATTGCGTAAAAAACCAACGTCGATCCGGTTTACTCTACTTACACGGCCACTCCAATGAGTGAGAGCTTACAGTCTGCAGACAGCGTGACGCTAGGGAAAATACATTCAACATAAATGTATTGTACTTATTTAACACAACCTGGATACACTGCTGCCACCGAAGCTGACGAGCCCATGGATGCCGAAACGAGTGGTAAGCTTAATCGCTCAATGTGTTACATTTCTGATTGCGTCTACTCGTTTCGCACGAAGAACAGTGGGAGTTAAAAAAATATTGCTTTCCGACGTTACTTGTCATAAGATTTCTGCATTGCAACTGCAGATAGAATTTTGTTAAGAAAACAGCATAACGTATTAATGCAATGTGCTTATTTAACAGAACCCGGAACAACTATCGAAACATCCGAGTCCACGGACGCCGGAACGAGCTGTATGCTTAATCTATTAATGTTTTCTATTTCTTATGACAAGCAGAGAGCGCATTTCAATTTGATTAAGCAGGGCATATCCTTGGGGCATAAAATAATACTTGTGGAAATGCGTTGCGTCTACTCAGTCCATAGCAAGAACAGGAGTGCAGAATGTAGTGTTTTGGATGTTACTTGTTGTAAGATTTCTGCTTTTGGACTGCAGATAGCATTTTGCTACGAAAGTGGCATAACCTATAAAGGTATTGCGCTTATTTTACAGAACCCGAAAGCACTGCTGCTACCGAACAGTCCACGGAGGCCGAAACTAGCGGTAAGCTTCATCGCTCAATGTGTTTTATTGTTAATCAGTAGTAAGAAACGCATCGTCAAATTTTTTAACTGTGTCATATTCTGGAGGCATTAAATAATACTTGCGGATAGTCGTTGCGTCTACTCAGTTCACAGCTGGAACACAGGGAGTGCAGAATATAAAGTTGTCGATGTTAATTGTCGTAAGATTTCTGCGTTGAGAGCGCAGATAGCATTTTGCTAAAAAACAGCATAACGTATTAATGCATTGTGCATATCTTACAGAACCCGGAACCACTACCGAAACATCCGAGTCCACGGACACCGGAGCGAACGGTAAGCTTAATATCTTAATGCGTTCTATTTCTTATTACAAGCAGAGAGCGCATTTTAATTCGATTAAGTGTGGCATATTCTTGAGGAATAAAATAATACTTGTGGAAATTCGTTGCGTCTACTCAGTTCACAGCAAAAACAGAAGGAGTGCAGAAGTAAGTGTTTTCGATGTTACTTGGCGTAAGACTTCTGCATTCCAACCGCAGATAGCATTGTGCTTTTTAATGTTTGAGAGAAAATTTTTCGAGTCGTCGGTATCACCAGCAAGCA